TGACCTGACTTACTTTGACGTTGTATCACATGAAATTACTCACTCTGCCTTGATGTGACGTATCACACGAGTGACATAATATGATATGGTTTACCCATGCAAGTCTCTGAAGGGAAACTTAATTGACTAACACAATCGCAAAGGGATGACAGGCGTTCCCGAGGAAAACACTTCTATCTCGTCAAAATATTCTGTAACATAAATTTATAAATCATACTTCGGGTGTCTTTCAAGGCAAAATGAACCGATTGACTCACATTTCACAGAGATACCTTATAACTTAACAAAGCTATTATAAGTTTAATTGAAACCTACTAAGTCTTCTGTATCCATGGTATTCAACAAACTAATATATACTAATTTGATTTGATATCCAGTTAATTGACTTATTACAAATTTTAGATTAACTTTGTTATATTGTAAATATGTTAATCATATATTGTCGTATTAGCTTATATACTTTTCAAGGCATGTCATATTACGGTATTTGTATCTTATATATCAAAATATTTCCCATTCATTTGATAAAACTCAGTTGAAGCTTCTCCAAATGAAAAATGAATTAATGAAATTAGTTGTATTTTTCTGCTGCAGTATGGAGTATTAAAAATATACAACGCCGTTCAGTGTACATTTGAGAAACTTTTCGACAAAGCGGGCGATATTCGAGTACTCTTTTTCGAATTCCGATTGTCGAGAGTACTTACACCATTGGACGTCGACATACTTGATTATTGTTCCCGACTAGCTAGTACAGTGGCAGTTCTCTGTCACCAGGTTGGAAATGAAATGAATGGAGTTTTACTCCCGCCTTTTCTGCATCTAATGGGACTAATGAAAACGAATTCGTGAGATGGGAGTCCACACCCTTTTAGGTGTGGGACTCGGAAGAGTAAAACCTCAGTGATGTTGTTATTTACGTCAGCGCTGATTACGATGCGCCAACTTCTCTCAGTGTTATTTCCCTATAATAATAATTGACCCCATTAATCTAAACTTAATCCAGGACGCATTTTTAAAAATAGCTTTCCTTGCACGGGTATAAACGCATAAGGGTTTACAAAGGATGAAATTGGGCTCAGAAAGCAAACTCGCCGACCAGAAGCGAAGTGTGACGACTATGGATTCGTTTGGAGTCTAGCCTGGAACTGTCTGAAAGTATAACTAAATAAAGATTTGTTGACATGAAAAATCAGATATTGGTTTTACCTTAAGTGGAATATCAATATTTGCTGTAGATTAAAGGTATAAAGTCATCTAATTATACTATTTCTTACTCGACCTGTTAGTCTGTAATACCTTGATCATCTCTCTCCATGTTTAATTTCATACAGGCTAATGCCACTGTCCCGGCAAAATTTACCCCATTAGGCATTGCAAGGTGTTGCCTTATCTGGAATATAAACGTAGGGCATACAAATTATTTCACTTACACAGCTTAACACTATTAAGGGTAGGCTAATGCCACTGTCCTGGAAATTTTCCTCATTGCGCATCGTATTGCGTTGCCCTATCGGGAGAAAAGAAGGGCAAAAAATTCTTCCATGTAGAAGTGACATTCCTAATTAGCCCTATCGTGAGCACCATTCCATTTCATTTTATTTTATTTCAAAACAAGTTTATCATTGCTGTATGAAATGAAGCGATTAGACAGACAGCCGTCTTCAGACCATCTTCACCTCACTTGAAGTCCCAAGCTGATACAAGGGAATACAAAGCGACCAATATTTCAGGTAGACTTAACCTGTATCAATAATCAGACTGTATAGAGTGAAGATTGTTGAAGATTTATTGTTGATTATCAATGATTTGTACTTGATTGTCCTCTTCTAATCAATAGTAATTACTTCTATATTACAACCATAGTCCATTTACAGGGGTATTGAAATACTTCTATAATAAGACCACATTAAAGACGTTTAGAATACCTCTGAGATAAGACTAGTGCGAAGGGGAGTTTTACCTCTACAATACGACCACATTAAAGATGAGTGACATACCTGTATAATAAGACCATATCGAGGATGATTGGAATACCTTTGTTATAAGACCATATAGTTGAATAACCCTTTAATAGAGCCATATTTGAAGATATAAACTGTGTAATGAGGCCAATTTCGTACTAATTGATATATGTATACAAATGTGTAACGGGGAGACTTGTAAATACCTGTGCAATAAAGTCACAGATGAAAGATTCTGGCCTCTTGCACCCCAGCCTTTGACGATTGAATTTCTTTAAATATCAATACCTTAAAGGTATAAAAGTTTTGCCGACTATCTCAAAGAGGAATTTTAATGATAATGACTTTCCCAACTGTTGAATTCTTCTCTGAACCTTTTGTATGTATGTACTTAACGCAATACATTGAAATAAAAAAAAACGAAAACTGTTCCGGTGCCCACAGACAAAGAATCGTGCCAAAAACGATTAGAGATTTTATTTTAGTTTGATACACTTGAACTATCTTAGAATTAATTAAAGTTCTTCAACATTCCACACTAATCGGAAGTACCATTGCTATACATCAAACTATGGCAGATTCATTCGTTCCTTCGTTCGTTTTATCACAATTCGTTCGTCAGTTTGTTCATTCGTTTATTGGTTAGTTCGTTGGTTTGTTATTTGGATGGTTCATTCATTGGTTCATTGGTCCATTCATTGGTTCATTCAGTCATTGGTTCATTCATTCATTGGTTCATTCATTGGTTCATTCATTGGTTCATTCATTCATTCATTCATTCATTCATTCATTCATTCATTCATTCATTCATTCATTCATTCATTCATTCATTCATTCATTCATTCATTCATTTGTTCATTTGTTCATTCATTCATTCATTCACTGTAGCTTTAAGTAAAACTCGGTCAAATAGATCGCCATTGTTTATTTCATCGTGAAGTAATTTGTAATTTTCGGTTGTATTTACCTTTGGTCTTTAGGTGTACCTTAAGTCATGTTAACACCTCTAGCCTAGTCTGACACCTGGATGTCATTTTTACTGTCTAAAACTAAGTGACCTTCATTATGAGGTAACTTCGATACAATCCCGGGCTTTAATGTCAATGGCTACTGTATCGTTTTTATGATCCTTTTGGAACCTTTGTGGCGTTTTGATAGAAACCATATTCGAACTTGTAAGTGTTTTTCTTTCTCCATATGAAAGTTTTGCCCCGAACTCTTATTTTTACGTTATTTAGCTAATGAAATGAAATGGAGTTTTATATCCTACTGTTCTGTATCTTATTGGACTAATGAAATGAAATGTAGTTTTATATCCTACTGTTCTGTATCTTATTGGACTAATGAAATGAAATGTAGTTTTATATCCTACTGTTCTGTATCTTATTGGACTAATGAAATGAAATAGAGTTTTATATCCTTCTGTTCTGTATCTTATTGGACTAACGAAATGAAATAGAGTTTTATATCCTATTGTTCTGTACCTTATTGAACTAATGAAATGAAATGGAGCTTTATATCCTGCTGTTCTGTATCTTATTGGACTAATGAAATGAAACAGAGTTTTATATCCTGCTGTTCTATATCTTTTTGAGCTAATGAAATGAAATGGAGCTTTATATCCTGCTGTTCTGTATCTTATTGGACTAACGAAATGAAATGGAGTTTTATATCCTATTGTTCTGTACCTTATTGGGCTAATAAAATGAAATGAAGTTTTAAATCCTACTGTTCTGTATCTTATTAGACTAACGAAATGAAATGGAGTTTTATATCCTATTGTTCTGTACCTTATTGGACTAATGAAATGAAATAGAGTTTTATATCCTACTGTTCTGTACCTTATTGGTCTAATGAAATGAAATGGAGTTTTATATCCTTCTGTTCTGTACCTTATTGGACTAATGAAATGAAATGGAGTTTTTTGTGCAACGACCACTTTTTGATCGACCTAAAAAATGGCTTTAAGATTTTAGCCACTCGAATCAGCTGAGCTACAACCCGTTCCAAAATTTGTCTTGTTTTATTAAACTGGAATTTTTATGAGTTCTGTGAATTAACCCCGACTGTTTGAGTACACTATAGTACTGACTCATTTTAATACCAAGTGATTTAATAGGTACTTTAACTGGTTAATATAAATCATTACCTCTAGCAGTGGGAGACGTCATTTACTAAATAACTTACACCACACAAAACATGGCAGTTAATGGGTTAACTATTCTTCATTTTAACCCCCTATACATCCACCTTCACAATGTGAAGCTATTACGACCTTTTATTACGACTTACACCAAATGCAACATGGCAGTTAATGGGTTAACTTTTCTCTATTTTAACTCCCCTATCTCAACCTTCACAATGTCAAGCTATTACTAACTTGTCTTATACCTTGACTGTAAACATTATGGCTTTGTTCAAAGACTTTCTGTCGAGGACTATGATTGGCTGTATTTGCTAGCGTACAATCTAATCAAATGGCTCCATTAACAGAAGTCTGAAAACGTATTCCGAGTATCTGAAATTGAACTCTATTAGCTGGTAAAGCGAATAAATATTCAAATATACTTCTTATATCGTCAAACGTGGAGGTTACAAATTAGATATTGCCTTCATATGGAAGAGGAGGTGAAATTGTAAAGAATTAAGCCAATTCATCGCCGTCAATCAAAGATATCAATAAAACTAAAGAGATAAAATATAAGAATGTTCCCACAACAATGGTTCGAATTCTCTCGGGTATTCACTATTCACCCACAATATTCACGACTAGCCATTAATTGCCTTATTTTTGTCGTTTCAGAAAACAAGATGCGGAACTTTACCATCGATCTGAAGAACGATAGTTCTGGAAACACAACCGTGATCGAGTCCGGTTTACTCCAGAGGCTAAACGATGAAAAAGCCTTGCATTTTATTCCAGTAATGATCTGGGTCGGTTTCCTCATGTTCGTAGGCGTAATCGGAAATTCCTTAGTCGTATACGTTTACCGTAGACGCTTCAAAAAGACCTCTTCTAACTATTTCATTCTAACGATGGCCATCTTTGATCTAGTCGCATGCGTCGTTGGTATGCCTACTGAAATTTACGATTTACGTTATCCGTACACGTTTTACAGCTCCACGGGCTGTAAGATCTTCCGTTTTACAGAAACGTTTACGATTTACGGTTCAGCAATAGTGTTGGTAGAAATCGCATTTGATCGTTATTTCAAAATATGTCGGCCATTGATGATCATAAGCTTATTCAAGATTAAAATGCTTTGTTTTATGGCGACTGTGCTTGCGTTGATATTCTCGATGCCTACTGCGTTACTGTTTGGGATAACGCGATCTACGACTCCGATTGACGGACTGCTAGGTTACGACTGCTCGATCGAGGAGAAGTACAGAAAATCTACGTTTCAAACTGTATATTACGGAGCGTTGTCGGTAGTATTTGTGGCTACACTGCTGATTCTTACGGCCCTCTATGTCAGGATTTGGGTCGAAATCAAGAGACGCAGGAATATGGTGATCGGGGACCAGATTTCTTCGCGACCATCTGAACCCAACCAGGAAAAGAAGAAGATCCGTGTTACGTATGTAGCTAGTGGTAGCGCAGATGATGGCGACGATGATTCGTCAGGAACCGTTGGTGCCGGAGGATGCAACATTACCACGTGCGACGACCAAAAACGGACAAGGTTCGGAAGCTTAGCTAACTACGCTTCACGTATACGTATAACGCGGACGACCATTGTGTTGTTTGCGGTTACAGTTGCGTTTGTGATAAGCTATTTACCAGCTATAGCTATCATGATGACGCGGTCAGTTATCAAAGACTTAGAGAAAAATCAGGGTATAGAGGTGGAAGTCGTTTCGAAATTTTTCTCGAAATTTTTCTTCATAAACAATGCTATAAATCCCATCATTTACAGCTTTTTAAATATTAATTTTAGACTTCAAACCAAAAAAACAGTGCGAAAAGTATTTTGCTGTGATCGACGTTCAACGCCCAAAAAGGGTGATTCGGATCGGAGCACAAAACGTGAAATTTTGTTGATCGGAGGCAAGGATGTATGAATGGAACGGAAATTTCTTTTGAAGAGGAAAACTTTGTTAATTCCCGACACTGTGTTACTATTTGCTTTAAGAAGCTCCAAATTAATTAGAGCTCATGCTGCTGATATGGGTTTCGGATTTGAAATTCTCATCATTACAGTTGTTTTCGAAAATGGGTTATTGCCCTTGTATATAACGATTGATTGCAGCTAACTTTCTAATACAAGATACCGCTATAACACACAAGCGGGTATATATTACGTCATATGGAATACATATTATATGGTACAGTATGTGGGAGCTAACTTTCTAATACAAGATACCGTTATAACACTATTGAAGAGGGTATATATATATTACATTATATGGAATACGTATTAGAATAACGTGAAGCATATGGGGATGTTGGACAAACATTTTAACAAACGCTGGAAATGGGAAGTCTTGGACCAAAAATTGACATTTTGAAATGCGGATGCCGCAAGGGAGACTTTTTAATATTGTTGTGTTGATATCGACGCTGTATATAAATGCTTAATTCAAATTCGTAAAAGATGTCCGGTGTGTTCTCATATATCGTTGCAAATTACATATATTGCCTATAACTCGATTGTGAATTTGTTGTTACCGTGTGAATTGACGCTTATGATGCCGTGGACATATGTTTTGGATATACCATCGATCGTCAGGATAGCTAGTTTGTAAATACTCTCTTAATATTATTAATCTATTTTAGTCAATCCCGGTTATTGAAGATTCGAATCCATAGTTGTAGTGTTTAGGGTCTTCAAACATTCCTGGTGTACGAATCTCAATATGCACATCTTGTAATTTTGTTTCGTTTATTTCTGTGGGTTACTTCACTAATTCTTGGATCTTAAATCGAGTCATTCTGTGGCTTTTATAGCGTATTCCAATCTAATGAAAGAACTAAATGGGATGCAGAGTCATTTTATTGCTTTTGTGGGTCATTATATTGGAATTGAAGAATATATAGAATGATGGAAGTAGCCCAAAGAATAAAACGAAACAAATTATCTTGACCTGTATATATTTTAAAATCATTGTTACCTCTATTAAGTGCAATAATTCAAAATGCGGACCTCCTCTTATTTGTTTATTTTTATTGTAAATATTTTTATCGTCAAACAATTATATTTTGTGCTCGTCTGGGGTCTATTTATTTTATGCTAGATTTATATTGTATGCGTTATGTACCCGAGTTTATGTTTTGAATCGAACACTGTTTACAAATATTCTACAATTTTTGACATAACTGTACCACATTTTAGTCCCATAACCAAACATTGCAGAAGGGTACTGGATTCTGTTAATTTGGACTTCTCGTGAATCCGGAAATCTGCTGCTGATTCTGTGACGTCATTCCTCTTGAGATAACGTGACGTCAGGGGTAGGCAAACGTCACGACGTTATGGCGGGATGTTTAATTTTGCTTTTTATGCGTTTATAAAGCTGTATACATGCTGTAAAATGTATAAGTAGCCAGGTAGGCATGTGATTGGAATAGGACTGGTTCGGGTTATCTCCCTAGGTGGCGTCACTGTACCGAAAGTACACTAGCGCTACCTCGTGCCCAAAGGCAAGATAAGTGGAGTGAATAATTCCTATTACTTCAACGTTTTAGGCCGGGTAATATAGAATATTTGTACGTCAAAGGTGATAAACGATTTACTTTGTTTTTATTTATAATGTTGATATTTCTGTTACATTGTCTTCTGTCAATAAAATTCTATTATATCATGCTTCAATTGTAGTCTGATAGATTATGACATCTCAAATAACAGAGTTACGTCCCTTTATTTCATAAGTTCAATGAGGTACAGAAAAATACATATTTTGATATAAATATATATTTATTTTTTCAAAAACTTTCTGGTAGTTTGACAGCTATAAACAATTTTCAAAAAATATCAACGTTGACAATTTATTTATTTATAACATACAGAGATATATCAGTTATAACCTTCGAAAAGAAATTTAACCTACAACAATGTATTAGACATTTGGACAATATATCTGTCATGCGTTTAGCTATATATACTTTACGTAGGCTTGACGTAGTTTTTGCTTTTGATCTAGTCTTGTCAGACCTGCATAACAAAACAAGAAGATAGAATTGTCAGATCTGGATTTGTCAAGTAATTAATTCTCCGAAAATACACGAAACGAAAGTTTTATCTGAAAAAGTGAAGTAACCCACAGAAAATAAATGAAACTAACAATCTAGAGCTGTATTTTATCAGACTAAGTGAAGTAACCCACAGAAAGTATATGAAACACAATATTTTCAGTTACCCACAGATAATAAATGCAACAAAATATCCAGAGCTGTTTCAACAAAATTGATTGAAGAAACCCACAGAAAATAATGAAACAAAATTGAGCTGCATCTCTAACCTAAATCAGATTTCCACCAAATGTCATGATAACAAAAGGATAACAAATGTCGTAACAAGATAACAAGTGAATATATTGTATAACAATGCCACGATTTGTCACTGTGGCCCCTTATTAGACGTCTCTGTATGTTTGGTAGCCTTGGTAGTTGTTAAGCCAATAGGAATGTAGCAACATGTTTTGTTATCCGGGCACTTACGATCGGGACGTTTCGTATGACACAGCACTTCCGGTATTATAGACAGGTCGAAACAATCTTGTTTACATTCTGGTCCTGAAAAAAAAGGAATTAAAAGTGAGTTTTACGTTCTGTTTTATGTTCTAATCTTGGCTATTGAACACAGTCAACGCCATGCAGTTTGCAATGTGGTAAATTTGTGTAAAAAAAAGAAATTAAAAGTGAGTTTTACGTTCTGTTTTATGTTCTAATCTTTGCTATTGAACACAGGCAACGCCATGCAGTTTGCAATGTGGGAAAGGCAGTGACATTAACTTGCCCTTTTTCACATATGTCATAATGTTCATCTCAGAGAGTCTACATAGCTAATAATGTTTATTTGATATTTAGGTTAGTCGACTCAGCATCCCTTCAGAGAGTTCACATAGCTAATAATGTCTCATTTGGTATTTAAGTATGTCAACTCAGCATCCCTTTCAGAGAGTTCACATAGCTAATGATGTTTATTTGGTATTTAGGTTTGTCAACTTGACATCCCTTTTAGAGAGTCCACATAGTTAACAATGTACACTTCGTACGTCATCATCTTGACATTCCTTTAAGAGAGTCTACATAGCTCCCAAATACAATAACAAGTGCACACATAATAGCAATCCTCATAGGGTGAAGAAAATTAGGACGTAAAACTCCATTCATTTCATTTCATTTCATTTCTAAAAATTTGAAATTGAATTCACCAAGTCCATATAGCGAAAAGTGTTCATGTGGTATTCTAGTTTGTCAACTCGGCTTCCTTTCAGAGAGTCCACATAGCTAATAATATTTATATAGATTACACAATTGACAATCAGCTAAAAATTTAAATAAAATTCACATAGCTAATAATGTTTATTTGGTATTCTAGTTCGTCAGCTCCGCATCCCTTTCAGAGAGTCCACATTGTTAACATCGTTTTACGTATAAATGTGCACCACAAAATAGGGCGAAATTAGCTGATAATGTTTATCTTGGTACAGAAAATTGTCAATCTTCCAAAAATTTTATATAAAATTCTTAAATATACTTACTGTCGGGCGAATCGCCATTAATTGAAAAGTTAAAAATATTCATTAAAATAACAATACAGAAAATAAAGGCTGTCGCCGATCCCATTGTAATATCAGTCCCACTGTGTCACCCACAAATGTCGAAATAAAATCTAAATTTTGAAGAGGATGACTCTTGTCACCTTGGGGCTGAAATTCTTGTCAGGTTTTATTACTAATTCAGACGTGTTCTCATTTTTAACTAAATAAGAATAGTAACCCACTATAGTTGTTTATTAATATTAAATTTAAAGGGATGTGCTCGTTTAATTTGTACTAAATTAGAATATTAACCGACCTATGGTTGTTTATTATTAACTCAAATTTAAAGGGATGACTTCATTTAATTTGTACTAAATTGGAATTTTAACCTAAGTTTTGTTATATGATGACTTTATTTAAATTAAAGTAATATGTTCGTCTGATTTTTACAAAAAAAAATGAAATACTAAACTACTATAGTTGTTTATTAATAACTCAATTTTGAAGGGATGTTATCATTTAATTTGAACTAAATTGGGAATTTTTTTGAATCAAATTTATCAATGGACAAGGCACACAGTCGTCTAATTCTTAACTAAATTGAAATATTAACCGATCTATAAGTCGTCATTTAGTAACTTGAAGTAATTTCGCCTATTTCTTCTTTAAACTAAATTTGAATTTTTTTTTTTTAATTTTAAAGGCATACAGGCGTTCATTTCCTATCTAACTAAATTATTTTCAAATCGACAACACTTTAAAGGGAATCAGTCCTCTATTTTTAAAAGTACAACGCATGTCGTGATATAATATCAAAGTGATATAGGCATCTAATTCTAAAAATAAATCGAAGGGTGACCCCAATTTTCTGACACAAAGGAATGAAAGCTTAGTAAGATACAGGGACTAAAGGGAGATTATTTCAGAATAGTTGCATGATTACCAGACTACAAAATACTTCCTCATTAGCAATCGTCATCAAATGCAAAATTGTGGACATCTATGAGTTACAGTCCCGTCAAAGATGCTTTGACAATTGAAAATTGGAAAAGAGTAGGCTATTGTCTAACGTTTCTCTGCCCTGGTCTAATTTCCCCATGACACACTGCATGACGTTGTCCGGCTTCATTACCCCAGTGGCATGTGATAGTCTAACCAAGATAAATTCCTACCCAAATTTTAAATTAAAGCATTTTATTAACAGCATAATCATTAATAAACAAAAATTAACAAAATAAATAAAAACAAAATAATCTGACGCCTGGTCAATATTTTACAAACTAAAAGGGATTAATTCTTGGAAGAAATACCACATGCAATACCAAATCACAGATTATCAGGTAAATATAATAAAATCACAGTTCAAATAAGATGTTTGTCTATAACTTTTATCTAAATCTAGCAATCATCCAAAAAATCTTCGGGAAAGCCTTCGTCACTTCCGCTAAATTCGTCAGAACTGTAACTCTGAGTGTCATAGGAACCGGAAATACATTGTATCACTTCTTCATGATCGATCTTCAAATCATATCCCATAATTTGTACATCTTTAATACCGCTAGATGGCGTGTCGTTTAATTCACCGGAAGTGGCGTCTGAGGATTCGTCACATGGTGCGTCAAACGTTGCTAACATGACGTCATTATAAAAGTGACCAATGATATACTCCGATTTATTTGGTGATGAATTCAAGAGATTTGATTGGTCAATATGTGAGTTATAATTATATTGTACCAGAACTTCTTGATCAAGGAAAGTGTCATAATTTATGTTGCTGTAGGATAAATTATTTAAAACTAAAAATTCCTTCCCATTGTCAGAATCTCGGACTATATTGCCTTGTTTTCTTTCATTTTCTGTCGCTTCATTTTCATAGGAATTCATCGAGTCGAAATAAAATTGAAATTCGTTTAGAGAGGTCTGGTTATCAAAGTCTAAACATGATTTTAGACATTTTATCCAGTCCTTTTTAGATGTCTTGTTCTCGACTTTCGATGCCGATGTCTCTGTATCCTGGAAGAGCTGACGACGACATTTTGGAGGGTTTGCTTTATTTTTCAAGGTTCTATATCGTCTTTTGCCTTCGCAAACGAATGACTGAAAAAAATACATTAAGCATGAATTAATTTTTGTACATTTCATGCTTAAGGTAGGTCTGATATGGACAGAGAGTGCAGAATATCTTCATATAGGCTGAAAAGATGGATTATTTATGACCCATATTAGCTTCCATAGCAGTATTTTCAAATTCCCTCAACCTTGCAGTGTTGAGAAACAAAAGCTTAAATTGGCTATAGGTATTCTATTCATAGAAAATTGTCCTAAATAAGATTGTCAGTTAGATTGCATAATGGCTTTCTTGGGCTTCCATAGCATTACACAAACCGCATTGGAATGGATTTTCACCCAATTGCCCTGCAAATGTTGGGACAAATGAATGGCTTTAAAGCGTCAAGAGTACTTACCAAATTTTCCATATCGAACTGTAAGGATTCCATTCTGCTTTGGCTGTTTTACTTCTCTCTAGAAACCTCAGTAAATAGAATAAAATGGACTTTGGATTTCTACTTCAACGTATTAAACTAATGAAATAAAATGGAGCTTTACGTCTGATTTTTCTATTTTTGTCTGCACTAGAGAAGATCTGAAAGCTGGAAGTGTTGAAGATGATACTGAATGTGTCCAATATCGCTCGTTTATATACTAATTGCTCAGTTATTCCATATAACACGTTAATCTGTTAATCCATTCATTAATCTCTTAATCCCTCAAACTCCTATCAGTGCAATTAACTCATTAATGTCTTTTTAAATTTCTTGTGTGTCCCAATCTAACAGTTTCTAGGTGCTGATTTTTGGTAAACATCTCTAACCGTTGTTTGTTGTTTACATCTAAACAATTATTTAGCGGATTTTCAAAACAGTGCAAAAATGGCATCTGAAATAAGTCACTGTTTATAAAAATTGTTTAAAAAAATTGACAATTTAACAACATGGTTATTTTACAAAAAACTATTTTTCAAATAAGGAACCTGTGCATTTCATAGTGCTGGTTTGTCCTAAATTTTTGGTTTAAGTTTACGTGATTAATAAACTTTGAATATGTCTTTTAGTGAATAATCCATTATCTAGTTTAGTCGACAATAAGATTTACGCTGCATGAGGTCAAAGATGGCGGACAACCTCATGCTGTTACCTGCAATCTAAGGAGTTTTACCAATATTCAAAAGAAATGCCGATCTAGCAACGTATGGGATTGACACTGCATGGGAGGTTTAAGAGGACAGGACTACTTCAAAGAACCTCATGCTGATCATTAGACTCGCAAGAGCTTCAATCCGTTCCAGTCGCCAATTGGATTCACACTGCATGGGGCAAAAGACTATCTGTTTCAGAAATGAAGTTTAATGTCCCACTGTTCTGTGAGTTATTGAGTTAATGAACCGCATGCTGTTCAAGGGAGTCTTTTCGAGACGCACATATATAGAACAAGAGTCCGCTGATGGACTTACACTACATGAGGTCGAAAACTAGCTGCTTCAGGTCTGCGTCCTACTTTTCTGAACCTTATTGGGCTAATATTGGTAGGACTTCTCTAAACAACCCATGCTGTTCAAGTTAGGAGTCGCCCATATTTAGGAGATTTTGCAATCGCCAATGGGATTTACACTACATGGGGTTAAATAGTATCTCTTTCAGAGATATAAGTTTATGTCCGACTTTTCTGCTATCTGGTCTAATGAAAATGACTACTGCAGAGAACCCCATGCTACTCGAGAAAACTTTTGGAGTTGTCCGACCATTTCAGAGAACACCATGCTGTTCAAGAGACCTTCATGGGAGTCGCCAGGATCTTCAGGGTCGCCAATGACATTAATGGGCCTCTAACGACATGAGGTCAAAGACCGACAGGGAATCACATGGTGTTTATGGGCGTCGCTAGGATCTTCATTCGATTCTGGCCAGACGCCTTTGAAGGGCCTTGTACGACATGAAGTCGAAGACTGATAGAAGAACCACATGCTGTTTAACTGAGGTATGTCGGACATTCTGGTAGTGTCTGATCATCGAAGACACCGACTCAGTCAATGAGATCTTCACTCAGAGTTTATATTTTGTGTTGTTGCTGTTTTAACATGACAGGCATGAACTGCAATGGAGTATTACGTCCTATGTATTTGAACGAAAATTTATGTATAGATTGATCTTAAAAGATCAACAAAGCCTTCCACAATTCACAAAGGCTGTTTACCTATATATTTCATATGGACTCGGTGAGAGAGCCGATACTGGATCGACTTCCGGAAGCACTGCTTGTGGCATTAGAACTTTCACCATGCTAGATTTATCAAAGGTCAATACTTACGTTTTGTTTAAATCGTGGTTACATTGTAATACTTGCTCGAGAATAAAAAATATCGGCATCTAAAAGGTAAACAACTTATTTTGGCGGGAAACCACTAGGTTATTACATGCGTTTTCGTCGATGTGCAATTTCTCTCGATATCGTTTGCCCATAAGGAAATATAATGAACAAAGTCTAACGAAAACTATTTCATGATATTATTTTTGACTGTGGATGATTCTTTGTGATTTGACCTTTAATTTATAGTTTTTCAACATCCATAAGTTCCTACGAGAGTTTGTTCCCCTGTGATGCAAAACCAAAGAAACGAGTTCTTAGAATACGAAGGTTCACAGTTTCGCGCTTAAACCTTCAGTATTTCAATAAATAGGCTTAATAGACCTGTACAATATTTTCTTTCTGTGTACGAAAAGGTTGGAAATAAGCAAATTATTGTATAATCATAAAGTTTATTTCATCAAATTAATAAATAGATAACAAAAGAGTAACAACTATAACAATAACAAAATAGTTTGACGATGTATCTGGCACATTATAGCATAGCCTAAATCAATACACTGCAATAAGTAAATACATGTACAAAGCAAAAAATAAATAAATAAATAAATAAATAATGCATGATAGAGAAAAAATACACCCACTATTCCCTAATGTTATATATTATGATGGTAGTATCA